TGGGGCCTCGTGGGGACTTCTTGTGCCGTCTAGGGGGCCTCGTGGCCCGTCTTTGGGCCACCTTGGGCGTCTTGGAGCGCTCGTTTGGCGTCCCTGGGCCATTTCGAGGCCACCGGAGGAGTCCTTGCAGGATTTTCGGGAGCGGATGACCCCCCGGGAATCGGGGAATTGGGAGAATCGGAGGAATCGGGAAAATCGGGGGAATCGGGGGAATCGGGGAATTTGGCCGGACCCCCCCCCCGTCCAAATCGACCGGACCGGGCTGCCGGGGGAGGGGTTTGGGGAGGGGGAAGATCTCACACGCCGATGAACCCCAAGGGGTCGGCGGATTTACGACGCCTGTCCAGCCATGTTTCCTGGGCCCACGGGGCGTGTCGCCGACCCTCATGGATTGCGACGCCTTCCACCCCAAGAGGTGCCCCGCGTCTCTGATCTACGTGTGTGTCCACCCGTAAAGTGCGTTTCGCTAGGCGCGCCCCCCGCCCCACGTGATGCACTGGACTCCGCTTCCCAGACGCGCCATCCACCCCAGGTGGTGCGCCTGTCAGCTGGGCGTGCCCCAGCCTGCCTGTGCACCCGTTAGGTGCGTTCTCACGGGCGCGACGCCCGCCCCAGGTGACTCGCCCTTTCCCGCCCCTGGCGCGGCATCTGCCCCGGGTGAGGCGCCATCCGCCCGTCCGTTTTCCAGCGGCTACCGCGTGTCTCTGCACCGGTGAGGTGCTTTTCAGTCTGCGCGCCTTCCCCCCCAGGCGGTGCGACCTCTACCCCTTGCGAGCGCGGCATCCTGCCCGTTGCACCTGCTGAGGCCCAGCCCAGCTCGCGGCCACCTGTCCGCGCGCTGGCCGCGTGCTCGTGGCTTCAGCGTGTGGCGCAACAGCCGCCCCTGGTTGTGCGCCCCCCCTGCCGCCAGACGCTGGGGCGCCGCGATGCGCGCTCTGCCCCGGGCCGCACTGGCCCCGGCCCGTTTGCCGCACGCGTCGCCCCACTGGCCATGGGCCCTGCAGGTTGGCTCCTGCCCCTGCCTGGCAGCTCGTGCTGCCCCACTGCGGGGGGCGCCGCCGCTGCGCCGCCCCCCCGTTTTGCCTCCCAGCTGCCCGCCAGGAACCCTCGCCCAGCCTCCCCGCGCCGCGGTCGCGCTTCGATTCCGCCGCGCCGCGCCAGCACATGGCCCCGCGCCCATCCCACCGCAACAGTCCTGCGCAGCCACCACCAACCCTCCCCCACCGGCGGCCCGCCGCTCCTGTAGCTCCCTATTTGCGGGGCCCCGCTCTGCACTGCTGCCCTGCGTAGCTGCCGCTCCTCCCCTGGGTGCGCCCGCGACGCGGCCACGCGCTCTCTGTCAGGGGCTGCCCTGCGGCCTGGCCGCCCTGCGCGCCCCCCTTGCGGCCTCGCCGCGCGAGGGCGCTCGTTTTCTTGCCCTGTTTCCGCCGCCGCCTCTCGTCGTCTCCTTTCCTCTTGCATGCGGGACACGTCGCAGTACGGTATCCCGGGCTGCCTGGGCGCGCGTGCGGACTGCTTCTGCCGCGCTGCGACGCAAAAGCGCGCGCGCGCGTGCGTGCGTGCGTGCGTGCGTGCGTGTGTGTGTGTGTGTGTGTGTGTGTGTGTGTGTGTGTGTGTGTGTGTGTGTGTGTGTTTGTTTGGGTTAGTTTTATTGTGTCTTTGTGTCTGTGTGTGTGTGTGTGTTCGTGTTGGTGTTTGTGTTTGGCTTTGTTTTTGTGTTTTGTGTGTGTGTAAATATAATCTTGCGCTGTTGTTGTCTTCGTAATGGGTCGAAAAAGGGTCGGCGAAGTTCGGTGCGGATCGATGATTGTTCTTCTTAGTGCTGGAAGTGTCCACGGTCGGAGTCTGCGCGTGTTGGCAGCGCGCATCTCTTTTGGCCGGCTCTCGGTCTCGAGTCCGCGGGGCGTGTGCCCATGATCACTGGTGACATCCATGCGCATCCAGCTTTGTAGTGTCCAATATTTTCGCTGCCAGCGCTCGTGTGCCACTGCGGCCGGGGTGGGGTGGCTCGGGGGCGGGAAAAGAGCAGAGGGGGTTCGTCAAGGGCTCCGCCGAAAATCTTGCCTCATGCCACGTTCTCGTTCAGCTGAAGGCACGACAACAAGTAACAGTGTGGGCGACATTCGTCTTCGCACGCACGCCGATCAACATATCGCACGGCTCGACACCCACGGGGTCCGTGTGGCGCACGATCCCCTGGATGCCGAAGTCGTTGTCTTAATGCGTAGCTGTCACCGCCTCGTTCTTCCGCTGGCCCTTCTCCTCAGTGGCGTGGGGGGCGACCCAGCCGCGCCCTTCATGTGTACCCGTGCTTGCCTCGGCGCGTTGGGGGGCCTGCAGCAGAAATGACAACGGCCGGCATGAGAGGCTGGACACGACGGCAGCTGCTGCACCACAGTGCGGTGTCGGACGATACGCGCACAGTGAGTGCGCTCCGATCGCGCACTCGCGCAGTGACGACGCTGCGTCAGACTTGGCACTGCCAGCAAGTGTGCAGCTGGACGGCCGACGGACTCAGGCGGTTTCTCGACGAAGCGGGGCCTGTACACACGCGGGCTCTGGGGGGCGTTGGCGTTTTCTCGACCAAGCGGGGTTTGTGTACACACGGTCTCCGGACGCAGGTGTTTTTTCGACGAAAAAACCGAGAGTGGCAGTGGTGATGGTGATGATGATGATGGTCATAATGATGTTGCTGCTGCTGCTGATGATGATTCCGACGATGAGGATGGTGGTGATGCTGATGACGGACGATGACGATGCTGAATCAGCTGATGATGAGGATAACGACGACGATAATGATGATGCTGATGATGATGATGGAGTTGATGCTGATGATGATGGCGAGGACGACGAGGATGATGACGATGAGGATGCTGACAACAAGGGTTAGTATGCTGATGATGATGATGATGGCGATGATGATGATGATGATGATGATGATGATGATGATGATGATTATGATGATGACGACGATGCTGATGACGGTGATGAGCATGGTGGTGGTGATGATGCTGGGGATAAGGACGGCGATGCTGATGAGGCGGATGATGACGATGACGATGACGACGATGATGGCGATGATAGCGATGATGATGCTTGTGCTGATACTGCTGCTGAAGATGATGCTGCTGCTGCTGCTGATGATGATGATGCTGGTGATTCTGATGATGGTGCTGCTGATGATGATAATGACCATGATGATGCTGACGACGATGGTTATGCTCGTGATGCTGATACTGGTGGCGATGTTGCCGATGCTGATGATTCTGATAATGATGCTGACACTGACGCTGATGATGCTGCTGATGACGATGATGTCGATTTTTATTCAGGTGATGATCCTGACGATACTGCTGATGC